GCCTAGCTGAGGACCCAACCTCACACACACGTGGCCTAGCTGAGGACCCAACCTCACACACACGTGGCCTAGCTGAGGACCCAACCTCACACACACGTGGCCTAGCTGAGGACCCAACCTCATACACACGTGACCTGGCTGAGGACCCAACCTCATACACACGTGGCCTGGCTGAGGACCCAACCTCATACACACGTGGCCTGGCTGAGGACCCAACCTCATAATGCCCCCTGCCATTAGGGGTGTGACACCTGCCTGGCTTACCTCAGATACGCTTTGGGCTTGAATCCCATGGCCAAAGCCTTTTCTTCTGACATGATGAGAGTGGAGGAGGCGCCGTCGGTCTGTTCAATCGGCCGCCCGGGGGGAGGGAGACAGGAAACGTGGGCATTAGCGCATGTTAGCCAAACGAGCTAGCGCAGCTGTCTGTCCACTTACCAAGAAAGAGGAGTTGGCAGCAGTGACCGTGCCATGGGGCTTGATGAAAGCGGGCTTCAGCTTGGCCATCTGATCCAAGGAGCTTGGGCGGATGCCGTTGTCCTTGGAAACCATGCCCTTCCCTATTCAGGTGGAACAGGTGCCAGCCTTAAAGCTTCAGAAGAAACCTTAACCCAGTACACCCCACACACCAAAAACCTCCAGAAGCCAGTGTGAGACACTAATGTTAAGTAGTGTTAAGTACACCAATACAGAAAAATAATTTGAATACAAAAGAACCCGCGCCTTGCTAGTCCGTGCACCGCTAACCTGTATCCTGCTAACCTATACTTCGCTAATCTTCCACACGTTAGCCAACAGTCTGCTAGCCCACACCCAATTAGCCCATATCCCGCTGGCTCATGCTCCCCTAACCCGCAATCCGCTAATCCATACCCGCTAACCCGCAGCACGCTAGTCCATACCTCGCTAGCCCATTCCTAGCTAACCGGCACCCACCTGGCACACTGATGCTGAGAACGTCACTGAGGAACCCGGCGTCCTGCGCCTTCTTGGCGAAGTTGTGGGAGCGAAAAGCAAACTCGTCCTGCTCAAGGCGGGTCACGCCGAAGGCGGCTGCCAGTCGGTCCGCGGAGTGACCCATGGTCTCCCCGGTGGAGAACTCTGCCACGGCAGGCAGCTGTCATACAGCAGTGGGAAGGGGGAGGGGATCAGAACAGTCACACGTCCAGAGTACAACTTCACTGCACCACCAAAGCAGAGCAAAGTGCATGTGGCACACAGGGTCACCTCAGGGGCAAAGTGGCTCAGTCTCATCTTGCCCAGCAGCGCCATCCTCTGGCCAAAGGTCTTAGCTTTGTTCAGGGATAGCATGATCTTCCTCATCTTGCGGCTGTGTCGGATGGGAACGTCGGACATGAACTCGACTCCACCGGCCACCACGGTGTCGCACTGTCCCGCCGCTATCAGGCCGACAGCTGCGTGGGAACACCAACAGCGCGTCCCTCACAGTCAGTAACGGGAACCCGACTCGCCATGCCCCCTCAAAGTTTAAACGAGGCCCCCGCTGAGGAAGTCGGGGACCGGAAGCACGTACCGGTGGTCATGGCCTGATTGGAGGAGATGCAGGCCATCGTTACAGTGTGGGCTGGGATCTTATCAGAAAATCCGGCTCCGAGAGCAGCCTGCACACATTACCAAACGAACTATGAGCCAGACCACATCAACCACAGGCTCTTCCTAAAATATGACAGCCACATGGGGTCTTAAAACCATTCTGAAGACAGTTAACAGCATTTGAACAGAGGGGACTTCAAGCCCTAAGATCGATTTAGGAAATGCATAGAACATTCTGGCAGAGTTCGGTGCATCATGAAGATTTGTTTCATTGGCTTGGACTCTGGCCAAAAATCAATTGTTCAAATACAAACTACAAAGACCATTACAAAGCGTGCTCTGGAATGGCAGCCAGTTGACCCACTATCCAAAAGACTAAGATGAGAATAGGAACATGGTCTGCATTTCAAGCAGAGACTTTGTCAGCAGACACCAAGGTCTCAATCGAACATATTATATCTGGTGTCAGAAACATAAAACCATAGTTTCTACAGCCAGATCTCCAAACTGTTGATTTACTCAAGTCATTTAGTGGTGCTTACCTCTCTGGCAACATTACTGGTCTTCACCTCCTGAATCACTGTGCCAAACACGAGGTACTCAACAGCGTCCTTTGGGAGGCCGGTCTTAGTCAGGAGACCCCTGGAGTGAGAAGATAAGTCCATCACATGATCCTTCAAGGCAGCTAGCAGAACATTCTGGAAATTATAATCTACTGTCCAAGATATGACACCCCCCCCCACAGAAGTTAATCCACATTGCCAAGCATCAGTGACCCTCATGTTTTCACAGGGTCTTCAGGCCCTGCTCACTGCTTATAAAGACAACAGCTGCTTACTGGAGAGAAGCTCTGGCCAGGTCGTGGGGCATCAGATCATTGTATCTGAACAAAGACAAACAGATGAGACTTAAAGTGCACTTCATCTGACAGACAACTGCTGAAAAAATGCTAATACATTATGCTAGATCAGGATAAAGAAGATAGCCAGGGGACGAGAAAGACAACAGATATGATTACAAGAACTGAGGCCCCCTGGTGCCTGAAACCCAGTATTGCACTGTGGACCTGAGTGAACCTGACAGTTTCCACTGACCGGGCAAACAGGACATACACATGGCCACCAGCTACATCCCCCTACGACTGCCTGCAGAGGCCAAAGGAGGGCATATAAACCCAATAAAACATGTACATGAACTGAACATGCTGTGTTCTACAGGTCCCATAACATGTTACCTCAGGAGAAGATGTGAAGATGACTTACGTGGTACCAGCCATCAGAAATGGTGTGCGGACCCCTTCCACTAAAACGATGTTCTTCACACCAGATTTGGCCAGGGTTTTTTTGCTTTTAGGTTGACCTTTTTTTGAAAAGCCAGGAAAAAAAAAACCACACAATGAGTTAGATAACTGGATATTTATCAACTAGTCACACAACATTCGCCACAACAGCAATTCTCAACCCATAGGTTGTGACCCAAATTTAGGTTCCGGCAAGTTCTGAAAGGGTCACGAGGCAGAGTTGGAAATGTATGCATTTTTTCAAATCAGCAAGCTTCTATGCTGATCCACGATCAGATTTCCCAGTCCCAATCCTAGAATTAACCTATATAAACAGGTCTTGGTTCTACAAATGCTTAGCACAAAACTAGTAAACACTATCAAAGAAGCCAAATCACAGATGCTTAATTTAAAATTCACTGGCACATCCAATCAGATTTGGGCGATAGGCATTGACTGGTATAAGCTGCAGAGTGCACTGTGTGCTTGATCATAGTGCTAATTTAAACCAATACTTGATATTGGGTCATGACTGAGCTGGCATGGTAAAAATTGGGTTATGGTGCAAAAAGGTCGAGAACCACTGATTTACAAAGTGCCATTGTTTTAAGGATCCATCCATCACATGGTCATGTGAAGTATCCTAATATTAGCAACCTAGCAGTTTAAAGCTGAATTTATATTAACAACTTAGGACTGTCTTATGGAAGTCAACCACATTCTTGGACCATCAACATCAAATTAAAGAGACATAATAATAACATTAACAAATCCGAGAGCTATACAAGACTGATAAATGAATTGAATTTAAGAATATGATTCAGCAGTTTTTCCAATTTACGATCACAATATTTTTCCATTAGGGTTGTAACAAACATCCAAACTCTCCAGAGTTTGCAAAAAATGCGTTCGTGAACCTAAAGCAGTGTTCGTGAACCTAAAGCAGTGTTCGTGAACCTAAAGCAGTGTTCGTGAACCTAAAGCAGTGTTCGTGAACCTAAAGCAGTGTTCGTGAACCTAATGCAGTGTTCGTGAACCTAATGCAGTGTTCGTGAACCTAATGCAGTGTTCGTGAACCTAATGCAGTGTTCGTGAACCTAATGCAGTGTTCGTGTATAAGTAGAATTTATTTATTCATTATTCTGGATTTTCACAATTACTAAAGGAGAATAAGTAATCATTAAGTCTAATAGTTTATACCAGAGTTTACTATACCAGAAATCTTTGTAAATTATATTACTGTGTTCAGTAATATGACTTCAACACATATAATTTAGATGCCTCATATTTATACATTTATACATATCAATACAGATGTGATTTTTACTGGCCTTGTTTTACTCTTCAGTTGATATTATTATAGCAAGCTCTCTTGTTGCAGAGCTAATCTCTTGCACAGCTAATTCATTTTACATATTCAAATATCACCAATCGTTCAAAAACAATAACTCTTCAAAAAGCATTTCTACTGTCAAACATTTGTAATGATATGGAACACGTCATTATTAGACCATGAAACACCAAATCTTAACTAAATTGAAAATGAAGACTGATAACATGATTCGAAACTTCTTGTGTTTCGGGGCGAGGCCTACTTGATGAACTGTGTATAGATAATAATTCACTCATGATGCTCAGTTTGTAAAAGTTCCCTTATGGAGTTTAAACATAGTGGAGGCACCACAAAGTGGAGGAACCACAAACTTTAGACTAAAACTAATGATGTTTAATAATAAGGACATCAGTAGTGTGCTAATGCAACCGTAAACTGTTGATAAGTGACATTTCTGAATTAAAACACTGAAGATAAAAGACATGCAGTATTCCCTTATTTGAACAGCTGGCAATGCTGAAAATTTCCAAATAATAAAGAGATAAGAAACTAAAAACTTCTGTGTAATAATAACGTCTTGCAAACTGATTAGTGTATTGCTGTACTGTGTCGTGAAATGGTTCCTCTTGCCCACGGCCTGGCGACACACAGCCCTATTTTCAGTTTTATTTTAGCATATGGAACTGTGTGATTTTATGACCAACATCAACACAACTTCAAGGTTTTCACTGCTATGAAAGTAAAAACACTAGCTGTCCCACCCAGGACATGGAGTATCTGAAATTTTGATAGACTGATATAACAGCGCCCAAAATGTACATCACATACCGATACAGTGGCCTGACTAATAAAGACACCTGCCTAACACACACAGCCTCTTCCGCCAAACAGTATATCGTTTGGCTGCAACAAATGCAGCATGTACACAGTGCCAAGAGGTCCACTTACAGTTTGGCTGAGCATTAGAATGGCTAAGGTGCTAGAAAGTAAGCGATTTGGTCCCAAAAATCACACCAAAATTGGTTCAATACACGGTGCTTCACGGTATTTCAGTGCTCAAAAACAACCTGTTAATGAGCGGGAGGAGAATCACCAGGTTCTTTTCAGATAAGACAAAAGCCAGGGTGTGCGGAAAGGTGTCTCTAAATATACAACTCGACAACCACTGATGTGGTTCTGGAGACAAAGGGGATTCCAGCAGTACATTACTTAATCAAGCAACCACTGAGGGTGTAACATCACCAAACTTTATCCTACCTGGAGCCTGGAGGTGAGTGGATGTGCCTAAACATCTGGCCACTAAAAAAAAAAACAAACAAAAACAATAACCACAGGAAACAAGTGATCAACAAAGATTCTTTTCACTTTCCAGAGTGAAATTACACACATTACAGTGGCTTGCACTGCCCTATCTTCATATAAGAGAGAGAAGTTCACCCTGGGAAGCAGATGATAATTTAAATGTCACTTTACCAGTATGCCCAACCCAGGATGAGGTCACTGGGCTGTTACGGACACTCTTCATTAGCATCAATGCCATTTTCACCTGAAACACAGAAACAGCAACTTTAACACATTGCACATTTTCAGTTGCATACTACATTTTAACTTGTGGCTATTATTAGAAAAGCTTTGCTCTTAGCACCAGCTTAAAAAACAAACGCAGCCATGATACATGTATAATACACGGTAAAATAGGTGCGCTGTGTCTCTGATCTTTAGCGTCTGTCTGTTTGCTGTATGGCATGACCTTTCACCCACTTTCCACTCAGTCTCAAAGGGCTCGTTAAATCAGGGCCAGCAGGGAAGGACGTTCGCATTACAGCACAAATTTCCTTTAGTGGGTTCGGATGAACACCCCAGCTCCCAAACACAGCCACAGCGTACGGTTACACAGCCGGTAATGACCGCCATGTACAGACACTCAGCCGACAGCACAGATAACTAACAGACTGCCAACTAACAGACTGCCACCTCACAGACCCCACAAAAAAAGTATTTTGCTGCACGGAAATAAACCTATGTTCACATGTACTTATAGTAAAATGTATGCATGTAAGCAGATAAATAATCTTACAACTTCTCAGAGAGTATCCACAGGAACAGCACTTCTCCACCTTCGCCTACAAATCGCAGTTCAAGTGCGCTGCTGTCTACTACACAACATCCCCGACAATTCGTCACGGCTTCAGGACCCCAAAATATAGTTGTCGAGAACTATGCCTGCCATTAATGTTCAGCTTTAAAGTCCTCGACATCATTTAATTAAAACAATTTGCCGTTTTAAGACGTTATTATGTGTTTAATAGTGAAATAAACCTGATACTAATTATTATTTTCTTTTTATTTGCATATACATTTTCCATTTTTAATAAGGGCAAGTGTCGGTCATCCAAATGGACAGCGACCGTACCCGTCTCCGCTGTCAATGCCCACTTGCAGCGACTGACCTGTCCTCGAAATGACTGGCATGCGTGCAGTGGGCATTCTCTCCAGGTTCGCTACGAGCAGATGTAGTCTGCTTACAGGTAACAGAAAGGTCCAGCGGTTCAGAAGGGTGTGTGGACTGCAGGCTTTGCGGTTGATCAAGCTGCAACCGGCTGCAAATCTGTTGGAATACGGATCTGTCGCTGGTGCCGGTGGTGACCTTTCACCTAGTTAGTATTGCAGCCAAAAGTATTCTGCGTAGTTGTTAGAGCCATACAGTAAAACACGAAAAGTAACGTAAAAGATTTGCATTTTCGTTACATAGCCATTGCAAATGATTTATATGGGATTGTGATTTTTGACTTGACTTATCAGTGTGGTAATACATCTGCCACATAAAATAGGTGTATTTTAAGCAACTCAGCATTTTCTACCAAACAGGTCTGAATTGTAGTGTTTTCACTATTTAAGAACCTCTGCAATGTATTCAGATTGAATTGTGCATTTTCTCAGTTCGCTGCTCTGCCTGTATATAAAAAAATGTTAAATGGTTTTTTAAAGCATGGATTGCTTAAAATGGGTGTTAACATAAAAGTGATACATGTGTAACAGTTTAAACCTTAACCAAATATGAATACAGGTGTTAAGAAATAACATTTATACAGGATATTATCCAAACAAACAAATCCTAGTCATTTTGGACAGGCCAACTATTCCACTCTGCAGTCTCCTTCTGTGCCAGATACAATTAAACAAATGTGGCAGTCAGTGTTTATATATGCATTTCTACTTTGTATTTAACAAAAATTGTATTTTGATGTAGGTTAATTTTGTAATTATGAACTAAGCAGTAATTAGTGCATTTGCAGTAATGATAACTACACTTTATCATTGTTGGTGTGTTGTGCTTTGAAAGTAGCATATCTCAGTCATGTTTCTTTCTTTTTATTATTCCTGTTTTGATATTTTTTGATATATTGATATATTCAGAATATGAATATGTGTGGTAGTTTCACTGTCTTACATTACTTGTGAAATTTCTTTAAAAAAAACTGAAATTTTTAATTGAGATCATTTTAAATTATGTCCCCAGAGCTCTATAAATATGGTAATTATTTTATTTTTATATTATGTTTTGTAGATTTGTTTGTGGCTGTTTAATATAGCAAGGCCCTTGCCTTCCTGTTGTATTATTCAGGTTGTTGTGGGAGTTGTAAGTGTATTTTTTTACTGTATTATATCTAAAACCCATTAATACATAGATCAATATCTGATCTGAGGTAACTGCAAGCTGCATCGTTTAGAAAGAAATGATGCTTGATTTGCCATTTGTATAGTGGAATGCTTATTTCCACATATATCATCTTGCTCTCTTTTGAGACATACACACTAGTGTGAGTGAATCCTAGGGCCTGCCTGCATGCAGCACCCCTGGAGCAATCAGGGCTCAAGGGTCCAACAGCAGCATCAGTCTGCTGACCTTGAGATTCAAACTGGTGACCTACTGTTCACGGGCACAGGGTCCTAACCTGCTGACCCCCCATGACTGTCGTAACTCATTCCTGGAAAAGATTTAATGTTGTATGGATGGGTTAGAATGTGGTTTGTATGTCAGCAATCTGGGCCACAGTTCATCCATTTTTGTGTTGCTAATATCATGGTGTTAAGCAGCCATGTGGCTGGTATAGACCCCGCATGACCTGTCTCTATAGTTTCCATTCCTTTTATAGTTTGTCTACTTGTGCAGCCTCTGTTCTTTATTAGCCCACGGTATGTGTATGTTGTTCAGTTACTTGTTATAACCAGTCATGTTTCCTGTTTTTATTTTTTTAGGCCATAACTGCCGTAACCTTACAGTTTTATCCACCATGTCAGGTAAACACATTTAACTTCAGCTGTGTTCAAAAGCTTAAAACAGAGTGTTCAGTGCTCATTTTCACCTTTCACTTTACATAGCTCGGACGTACGTCAATTACGAGGTCAAGGATGACGTGGCCGTCATTCGGATCAATGACCCGAACTCAAAGGTACCTGTTCCCTGTGTTGCCTGACAGTGGTGGCAGGGGGTTATATGCCCTTTGCATAGGGGTGGCTGCTGATCCAGCTTTTCTGTGGCACGTCTCTACTGTGCCAACGCAGGTCAACACGCTGTCGGCCCAGATGCAGAGCGAGATGACCCAGGTGATGAATGAGGTCTGGGCCAATGGCGCCGTGAGGAGTGCCGTCCTCATCTCCTCCAAACCCGGCTGCTTCATCGCCGGAGCAGATATCAAGTCAGTGATCCAATCCTGAATAAATCCTTACCTAATGTTTCAGACCCCCTCAGTCTCGTCATACACTTGTACTAATACTTTTACTACTACTAATACTACTGCTAATAGTAATAATAATAAAATGCTTTGATATTTGCTGTGTTCTTGTGGCCACCGTTACTCTCAAAAAATACTTTGTCAAATGCTTCCGGAAACCCTGAAAGTATTCAATATATTGAACTGATCTCCCAACTTCTCTACAGCACTGACACCTGCTGGCAGCTACATGGAATGACATATAGAGCCTCACCCTCAAAATACACACACATAACTGTAGTATTTAACTAACAGTCTTTAGTATCTCAATACCCAGCACTGCTTTTGTGTTTATAGGTCGCGAGAGTCTGGAGACAGTTCAGATTTAGACTTATGGGAGACCAAGGACAGAATAATGTCTCATCAAAGCTAAACGCGCGTTCTCTGGTGAACGGAGAACCATTTCATTCTGTCTGTTCTGTCCACAGCATGATTGAGGCCTGTCAGACTGAAGAGGACGTCACAGCCATCTCTCAGGAGGGACAGAAGATGTTTGAAAAAGTCGCCAAATCGCCCATTCCCATCATAGCGGCCATTAACGGCTCCTGCCTGGGGGGGGGGCTAGAGGTGGGCCTCACCGAGCCGTTCTGTATGGTCAAATGTACCGGAGTCACTCTGTTCCAGAAACGTCTGCATGTACCGATTGCTTGGGGGTCACCCTCTGCCTTCTTCCGCGTTGTCATGTGACCGCCTGGAACGGCTCACGCTTTACACGAGTGTCTCTCTTTCAGTTTGCCATCGCCTGCCAGTACCGGGTGGCGACGAAGAGCAAGAAAACCATCCTGGGGACCCCAGAGGTCATGCTGGGTCTGCTGCCAGGGGCGGGGGGCACACAGAGACTGCCCAAAATGGTGAGGATATGAATATATACATTTATGTAATAGATGCTTTGATCTAAAATGATGTACAATTGAGGAAGCTGGGTCAGTCAGTCCCTGGAGCAACTGGCCCAAAAATCACTCTGCTGACCCTGGGATTTGAACCAGCGACCTTCTGATCACTTGCACAGCATCCTAATCCACTGCCCCACCCAGAGCCAGGGTGTTTTCACCCCCTGGATGTAAATAATGAATATCAGCATGTGAGGTTGTTTTCAGTTTAACCATCTTCTTTCGCTCCTGGGTGTCAGGTCGGGCTTCCTGCCGCTTTCGACATGATGCTGACCGGGAGAAACTTGAGTGCGGATAAAGCCAAGAAGATGGGGCTGATCCATCACCTAGTCCATCCCCTCGGTACAGTCCGCTGGACTCTCTCCTGACCGCTGAGCAGTTTCTCTCGACTCTTTCCTGACATGTTTACACATTTCTATGCAAAAACGATGAGATTCGCTGATCACTCAGTTGCTTATTCGCAGTCCTGTTACTTTTAATTTTCTCAGGTCCTGGCCTTAAACAGCCTGAGGGAAGAACGATCGAATACCTGGAAGAGGTTGCAGTGGGTCTCGCTAAAGGCGTTGCCAGTGGGACTGTCCCTGTTAAGCCCCAGAAAAGAATCATGCAAAGTCAGTAGGCTGACCGACTGGAGAAGTGATGTCATCCTGTATCTCCACAGCTATCATTTGGGGGTTATGAAAAGGCTCCAGCATTGTAATTTGAATGCATCTCACAAATAATTGGTTATAATCCTTACCTCTCAACTTGTTTGAAAATGGTTACGATAAATTTCTGCGGAGGAAATGAGAGCTGAGTTCTTTACCTGCCCTTTATGTGGAAAATAACTAACCGAAAACACTTTAGGTGAAATGTATTAAACGTTTTGTATATAATACCTTGAGTATAATACCTTACAAATCCTTTCTAGTAGCATAAAATAGAGCAGGGCTCTTCAAATCTGGACCTCGATTGCAAATTTAGGCCTTGTTTTCAGTTCTCCCAGGTAATTACTTTAATAATTACTGATTCTGATTGGTCAGAGGCTTCACACCTGGCTCACAAGTAAAGGAAGGCTGGAAAGTCAGCAGGGCTCGGACCTCGAGGACCGTGATTTGAACAGCACTGCTTGTGTAAAATTGTGATCCCCATATGCACCCTGGAGCCTTTCTGAAGCACATAGCCGCACCTCCGTTTATCTGATGCCCCTTAATCCCATTTAAACCTTGTACTATGTATCATTAAGTCATTCACTCATGTGTCCAGTCCTGCTGTGGAGCCTCCTGTCCTGTTATGGTCAAAGATGAACCTGTCTGAGGCAGCCAGGGTCCCTCATCTCTTACTACCAATCTTTTCACAGAGATACAAGATTACATCATGGGGATTCCATTGGTACGCCAGCAAATCTACAAGACCGTTGGCAAGAAGGTAGCGAAGCAGACGAAAGGCCTGTATCCAGCCCCTCTGAAGATCATCGAGGTATGTGACCCACCACGGCCTTTGGAGGTCATCCGTCTCTCGAGCCTTTCGTTACAGTCCATTCCCTTAGAGCCTCGTCCCAGATCTTGTCTGTCCTCCAACAGGCCGTTCAGGCAGGATTGGAGAAGGGCTCCGAGGTTGGATACGTGGTAGAGTCACAAGTAAGGAAGCCTGTAAGGGACAAAACGTTTCCCAGGAACGGAAGGTGAGACATGGCTTTAGCCTCTGTTTTTTTCTGTCCTTGTAGAATTTCGGGAAACTAGCGATGACCACGGAATCCAAGGCCCTTGTCGGCATTTACCATGGTCAGGTGACATGTAAGAAGAACCGATTTGGGACTCCGGAAAAGGAAGTGACGTAAGCAGAGATATGTGGCGATGACAGCATGCTAGAATGGATGGATTTCCAGCTGGTTATTCCTGACTTTCAGTGTGACGTAAAATATGACGTACGTACGAAAACCTTCCAAACACTACTGATGATTCTGCACGTGTCAGGAAGCTGGCAGTCTTAGGAGCAGGACTGATGGGAGCAGGAATCGCCCAGGTGACCGTGAACCGGGGTGTCGGCACTATCCTGAAGGACACCTCAGAGGTGGCTCTGAGCAGGGGCCAGCAGCAAGTTTACAATGGGTGGGTGTGCACTCGCAGCTGACAGCCACCAGAGGGCACAGTCTTCCTGTAAGAGCACATAGGCGACTGGCCAACAGCAGCCACACGTAATCATTCACATTTCTTAGGTTTAATGAAATGACCAAGAAGAAGAGGATTACAGCCTTCGAGAGGGATACCAGTATGTCCAGCCTCAGTCCACAGTTGGACTACAGTGGCTTTGACAAGGTGGATATGGTCATCGAAGCGGTTTTTGAGGACATGGATTTAAAGCACAAGGTCCTGAAGGACGTAGAAGCAGTAAGTAAGACACTCATTTGCTGTAACTGTTCAAAAAGTCCCGTGGAAGATACCTGACCAGCACTGTGAACTGTTGTTGAAGGTTCTACCGTCTGAATAACCTTCAGACTCAAAACATCTTCATTTTTAGCTGATGATGGTAATGTAAACAAGCTGTGCTGTGATTCTTTAACTCATCTCTTTAAGGTAATATCCCCTCACTGTGTTTTCGCCACCAACACCTCTGCACTTCCAATTAAAGACATCGCTGCTGTAAGCAAGAGGCCGGAAAAAGTGAGTAACTGGTCTGATTGGTCAGATTTGGACTGGGCATGCCAAGTGAGACACCTGATTGGTCAGATTAGGAGCAGACAAAGTGACTGACCGGCCTAATTGGACCAACACCCTGATCTGAACTGCCTTCTCAGGTCATTGGGATGCACTATTTCTCCCCCGTGGAGAAAATGCAGCTGCTTGAGATAATAACTACTGACAAGACATCCAAAGACACGACTGCCTCTGCCGTCGCTGTCGGTCTCAAGCAGGGCAAAGTCGTCATAGTCGTGAAGGTGGGTCTGTCTCTGTGGACATACTCAGCTACAAACGCTCTGTCTGTGTGTGTGTGTGTGTGG